CCCCGCCTCTCCCTGTCTTCCAAATTTCTTGACACAGACAAGTAAGCACCTCCAGTGCCGCATCTGTTTGTTGAAACATTTCAATGGGTGTTCTGTCCATTCCTGGAGCCTTGTTTTACACCAGTGCAGCCTCAACTGCTTCCTTCAATATCACTCATTCTTGATTATATGCTACCTCCTGAAATAGTGGGACATCAACCAATTCTTTTTGATACAGTGACTCTGCATATTCCTTCCATCTTCTTTTGATAGTTTCTGGATCATTCAATATTTTGCCCATATAAAGAATCCTTCAATATTACAACTCAAGGTTTGAATTTTTTCTTCAGTTCTTTTAGCTTGAGAAATGCTGAGCATGTTCTTACCTTCTGGTTTTCTAACTCCAGGTCTTTGTACATTTCATTATAATAACTGGCTTTATCTTCTCAAGCTGCCCTTTGAAATCTTCTGTTCAGTTCTTTTATCTCATCATTTCCTCCATTTGCTTTAGCTACTCTATTTTCAAGAGCAAGTTTCAGACTCTCTTCTGACATCTATTTGGTATTTTCTTCCTTTCCTGTCTTTTTAATCACCATTTTCTTTCTTCATGAATGATGTTCTTGATGTCATCCCACAACTCATCTGGTCTTTGGACACTGGTGTTCAATGTGTGAAATCTATTCTTCAGATAGTCTCTAAATTCCAGTGGGATATGATCAAGGTCATATTTTGGCTCTTGTGGACTTATTTTAATTTTCTTCAGCTTCAACTTGAACTTTCATATGAGTAATTGATGATTTGTTCCACAGTCAGCTCCTGGCCTTGTTGTGACTGATGATATTGAGCTTTCTCCTTTCCACAGATGTAGCTGCTCTGATTTCTGTGTATTCCATCTGGCCAGGTCCCCATGTAAAGCCACTCTTTATGTTGTTGATAAAAGGTATGTGCAACGAATAAGTTACTGGTTTTGCAAAATTCTGTCATGTAATCTCCAGCATCATTTCATCACCAGCACTGTATTTTCCAACTACCTATGATTCTTCATTTCCAATTTTCGCATTCCAATCACCAAGAATAATCAATACGTCTTAATTGGATGTTCGGTCAATTTCAGACTGCAGAGGTTGGTAAAAATCTTCAATTTCTTCATCTTTGGCTTTAGTAGTTGATGTGTACATTTGAGCAATAGTCATATTATCTGGTCTTCCTTGTAGACATATGGATAGTATTATAATTAGTACAATTACTGATAGCATTGTACTTCAGGATAGATCTTGAGATGTTCTTTCTGATTTCCTCTTCAATTTCTCATTGTTGGCATAGTAGATCATATGATTGTCTGATTCAAAATGGCTAATACCAGTCCATTTCAGCTCACTAATGCCTAGAATATTGATATTTATCCATTCCATTTCATTTTTTGACAACTTCCAATTTTCCTAGATTCATACTTTGTACATTCCATGTTCCGATTATAAATGAATGTTTGCAGCTGTTTCTTCCTCTTTTGTGTCGTACCCCATCAACAGATGAAGGTCCCAAAAGCTTTACTCCATCCACATCATTAATGCTGACTCTACTCTGGGGAGGCAGCTCTTCCCCAGTTGTATTCTGAGTGCTTTCCAACCCAAGGGGCTTACCTTCTGGTACCATATTAGGTGATCTTTCAGGGCTATTCATAAAGTTTTCCAGTAACATGTCAGACAGTGTTTCACTGCTATTCATAAGGTTTTCAGTGGCTAATTTTATGAGAAGTGGACTGCCTCTTTCTTCCTATTCTGTCTTAGTCATGAAGCGCCAGTAAAACTTGTCTACCATGGGTGACCCTGTTGGTATTTGCAATACCAATTGCATAGCTTCTAGCATCCCAGCAATACACTAGCCACCACAGTGTGACAAACTAACAGATGACTGGTGGAATTTTTTTTTTTTTAATTATTTTCTTACAGGCTGAGATTTAGGTAGGCAATTGCAGAGACTTTCTTGTAAATTTGGTCATTTGAGAAGATTAAATAGTACAACTCATCATCTCCTAACTTTTCTTCACGATTTCACAATTGTCTGAACATCTCTGAAGTCTAGGGTGTTTACTTTCATGGGCATCAAAATTACCTGAAGGCAGGCAAGAGAAATTCTTCTGTTTTTCACATTCAATGACAGGAAAACATGGCACACCCCTGCCATTCTGGAAAGGAAACAAAGCATGGCCGGCTTTACACTCTTCTTGTAGCTGATTAGTTAGAAACCGGGCTCCAGTGCTTTGTTTGTCCTCCTCGGTCATAAATATCTTGGACCCTTTGCATCTCATCACCAAAAGAGAAGGTATTTGTTGTTCCTAACAAATAAAAGCAGGCTTAGGCCAAAGTTACCTCTTTCAGTATAAGAGGACTCATATTTTTATTTTTATACTTTCCTTTCTCATGTCTTTCATTATTCAGTTTCCATTCCAAAGACCTTTTCAGAACTTTCAAATCAAAGAATGTTAGTGCACAAGTCCCATAAATTTGTAATGTCCTCTTAGACTCTTTCCAAAATCTTTATGACAAAAATTCAAGCATAGATATATTTTCTTCTGGTCTCACCTACCCATAAAGTGGAAATTTATACAACTTAAACCTTCACCTAATGTGTTTATGTATAATTGTAAAATGACCTGAATTCACAGTGATTAATATAAACTTTTATCTATGGCCAAGACTTCATCGTCATACTTTCAGAAACTCAAGGTTAGCAGCTGTAGTTAGCATAGTGTCAGAATAGCTATAATACCAATAATTATTGGTAATTATTGCCTAAGGCACTTGACTGCTAACCAGAAGGCTGGCGCGGTTCAAACCCACCAGCCACTCCTCAGAAGGAAGGTTGGGCAATCTACTTCCGTATTGATACTGCCTCAGAAACCCAAGGAGGGGTCGCTATGAGTCAGGTCCGACTCGACGGCAGGTAATAACAACAACATATTAGCTATGGTCTTACATAAACACTACTTAACATTTAACTCACTGGAGTAAGTTTTTCTAAAATATACCACTGCAACCAATTTATAACTGAGTCATTCCTATATTTCACTCCATACAGTTCTTAGCATAAGCTTTTGAAAATCTTTAATCACTTACCATAGACCTTTTACATTCAAAAAATGAATACTGCAAAGCTTTGCAGCTTCCTTCCTTCAAACATTGCCGAGGAGTTTTTCCTTCCTGTAACATGTAAAACAACATAAAGTAAATACCGAGAAGTTTTTCTCACAAAGTACAAAATAACTATCCTTTTGACAATAGTTATTTTTTAAAAAAAGTTGAACAAAAGAGGAAAATTGTAAATTACTTAAGATTAGTTCTTAATACATTTTGACTGGTGGTGCTTAAGGAAAAAAGGATAGAATACTGGTTTGAATGGGATTCTTCTCTTAAAAATGCTTATATAAAAATCTAGATATGGATATCCTTATCTCCTTATGGGTAAGAAAGAGAAAATGTAAAGTGAGGGTAGTAATAGGGCTTCTTCAGTATTTTCAACACTTTCATACTCAAGAACTCCTAACGACAGAGAAACAAGTTTGTGTGTGTGTGTGTGTGTGAGAGAGAGAGAGAGAGTGTGTGTGAGGGGGAGAGAGAGAGACAGACAGACAGAGCGTGCAAGTCACCCATGAGAGAGCAGACATGATGTTGTGGGAAATGGGAGGGTCTGTTCTGGAAGATAGTCTCAGGTGGTTTTAATGTCTCAAATTTTATCCTTTTAATTAAAATAATTTTACCTTCAACACAACTTCACAATTTCTCATCTGCCAACACCCACTGCCAACTTTATTATTCTGAGAAACTCAGCTGAATAAGAGCTGGAAGAGGGAAGTGGGGAACTGACAGCATTTACATGTACCTCTGAGAGAAGATCTGCCAGGGCCTGATGTGAAATTAACTCATCTTTAGGCAGTGAGAGCTCAAAGAAGTTTCCAGAGAAAACTAGGCCAAATAGTTCCCTTTCTGCCATCGAGGCAGGACGCTGCTGTAAGAATATTCACAAGACCATTGTTTGTTTCTGATTCTGAACTAATAAATTATTTAGTGTGTGTGTGTGTGTGTATATATATATATACTTTTTTAACTGTAACTACTGAAAATTAGACTTGGCCAAGTATTAACTAAAAAACTAGGTAAGAGCTAAAATTTAGTAGCATTTTTCTTTCAAGTTAAACATAGAATAAAAATCCTAATACTACCTCTTCATTATTTTAAAAGACTTGGAACAAATTACTATAAATATAACTTATAAAAAGATACTTAAATATAGTAGAAACATACTAGAACCAATGTACATTTCAAAATTCAGAGTAACATTAAAATTTAACTATACTGAAACTTCTTTTTAAACACCATTCCTTCCTAATTTGTCTTGTATCCAAACTTGCTTCACAAAGACTAATTTATGAAATATATATATATATTCACAACAGAGGTCTAATGGGAGAATAAAAACGTACATGCTAGAAGTTCCCTGTACTCTCAGGGCTTTTAATATAAGATAGAAAGGAAGATTCACACATGAAAAAATGTTAACTGGCAACATATATCATCCCAAGGTGAATGTGTGCCAGAGGGGTAAGAGGGAAAATGCAAACGAAGTTCAGTTTCCTGGGAATGTAAAGACATAAGACAACATCTGGAAAAAGTGAATTGAACTCCAATTTTCCAAATCACGTGAGGTTTAATGATATCAAACTATGACTTGCAATTCACAGGGGGAAAACCAAATACATAAATCACAAACCTTACATCATTACTAGGCAAAGAATTAACAAAAGTAAAAAATTATACCATTTATGAAATTGTCTTATGCAATGCTTCACAATATAAAGGGAGATCATGAAACCTTCCTACTCAAGATATATTCCTGTGTAAAATGACTCAAGCAATTTTGTCTGTGAATGACAACGACCCTGTTCAGTGTAACTTTAAAAGCGCAAATAGCCAGGATAATATGCCCTGAAATCAGAACATTTTTTACTGTTAGTATTAAACACTTAATACAGCCGCTAGTGAGGCAGGATAGAGTAAGTCTTAAATAGAAAAATCTGGTGCATTCAAGAAGCAGGAAAAGTGCAAGCTAAATTTCACCTGCTCTACATAATCAGGGATTTTCCCTCAAGTAGTTGTTGGCTCCCCCTCACCCCATCACTGCAATCACTCCCTTAAATCTTTATTTTCCAAGTGCCAATTACAGTCCCTAATTTTTACTATGAAAAAGCTACACAGGACCTTCTCTGTGCTATTTCTATTCACCAGAAATCTGTTCTTGGCCATTTTCTAGTCTTATTACATATGTGTCTGGGTCCTACATTTCACCTGTCATCTACACAATTAATTCTCAAACAGCTTCCTTGCACTATCACACTCCTCTCCAAACTTTGTAATGATACCGCTGATGGAGCATGCTGCCCACATGAGCAAGGTGGAGGCAGATAAAAGACTGAGAAAGAACTATAATCTATAAACTGGTATCTCCCAAAACTGTATCTAAGATGTTATCTTTTTCATAAGCTTTCAACATGTATTGCCAACTGTCTGGTAGAAATCTCCACTGAGATACACTAAACCTAACAGAAGCATCAATTCACCATCCTCTGACCTTCTAATCCCTGCTAGTTGTCCCTTAATATTCAGTGTTCCTTGTTAGCTGGACAAAGTGCTCAAATAACCAAAAGGTTGACAGTTTGAACCCACCAGCTGCCCCGCGAGAGAAAAGAACTGGTGATCTGCTCCTGTACATATTACATGTGTTCTGGTTACCTAGTGCCACTCTGACAGGAATATACCACAAATGGGATGGCCTTAACAAACAGGAGTTTATTCTTACAAGTTGGAGGCTTTATGTCCAAGTTCAAAGTGCCAGGCTCTAAGGGCTGGGTGAAAGCCCCTCAACCTTGGGGTCCAGCTCTGCTGCCTGCTCCTGGCCCACTGGAGCTAGAGGCATTTCTTCACTTGGACAGCTGCTGGCTGCTGAGGCTTGAGAAGTCTCAAGGTTGACAAGTAAAAAGGCACAGTCCCGATGTTACCAAACCACATGACAGGCCATTAAGTCCATTTTAAGTCCCAAGGTCAGCAGAGCATAGCAGGCTGCTCAACAGACGGCTCCATGCGGGGTCCAAGCGTGCCATAGGCTAGAGACCATTCTCAAAGCTTCTCCTTACACAGAGGAAGCAGACCACATATCCAAAGGCAGCTACCCAGCTGCTTGTGGTAGATCCCACCATGGAGCTGATTGCCAGTCTCCTCATGGGGATTAACTACCACCAGCTGCCCAGCCACTCAACCAGGCCCAGCCAAGTTGACACACAAACCAAACTACCACAACATGCTAGAAAACTCTATGGGCAGTTCTACCCTGTCTTACAGGGTTGCTATGAGTTGGAATCATAGCACACAACATGTTGGGCTAGACTTCCCAGGCCCCTTTGCAGCTAGGTGGGGTGTTGTGACTAAGTTCTAGCCAATGGAATGTGAGAGAATTTCAATAGTAATTTCAAGTGTAAAACTTCTGGGTTGGTCCTTCAAGAAAAGAGGCCTGCCCCCTTTCTGCTCTTTACTCCGTCACTTTGAGTCAGAATCAACCCAACAGCAAAAGGTCTGGATTTTTCGGTTGGTTACTGGGCTGTTGACCAGGTTGGACTATGTATATGAGTGTGACCTATCTTCCATCACAGCACTAGAACCATAAGATCAATAGTGTGTCCATGAAAGACTAAATGGAGTTGCCCAAGGCCTTCTTATGGGTACAAAAGAGAATTTTCTATTTTGTCTCTTAAGAGACTTTTTCTGGGTCTCTGTAGCATGTAGCTGAACTTATATTTAGTAACTCCCAAACTTCTTAGCTTCTGAGATATCATGATTAGTGATTCCCAAACATGGCTGTGCCCAAGAACTAATATCAAAAGGAAACTGTGGTGGGCAGATGAGGAGGGTCCACATCTATTTTTAAGCTCAAAGTGCCCATTTCCAGGTGATTCTGATGAAAAGTCAGCACGTCTGGAAGCTGTTAATGGAGACACAAAGGAGATAACCTATGTTGAATGAGGTTCTTTAGGTATGGTTTCCACCCTGCCCCTTTTCGATATTCATGATTCATAAAATCCCAAGAAATGCCTCTTTAATGTTTTTTTTTTTTTTTTGCTTCTCTTCTTCAGCCCCACTAGAGTTTACACCATAACTCTGAGCTTCTCTAAGCCCCTGTAGTTCCTTGACCATCTCCCATCACAACACCTAGCACTAAATATTCGTTTACATTGAAATTCCTCTCTACAATGAGGTGCTAGTTTTCAGATGGGTTATAGACTGGCCACAATAGACCGGAGCACCCATCAGATTAACTTCTTCAATTAACTAAGGAATCAAAATCTTATCACAAAAGAGGTGGCCAAAGAGAGCAGGCAGAGCTCAGTGGAGCTTCCCTTAACCTTCAGAGTCCCTACTGGGTGGTAATGGTCTATAGCGGCCAATGATACCCTTCAAAAAGGTAGGATATTATTTTATCTCACTCAAATGTTTTACCTTACTACTGCCCTATTACTCTCCAGATTGAAGTTGCTATTTACCGTAAATTTAACACAAACTATACATGCACTTCCATTTAAGGGTCTGTGTACAATCATCAAAGGTGCTTGTCAACACAGTGGTCAGTTAAGTATTTGGTTGCTAACCAAAAGGTTACCAGTTCAAACCCACCAGCCACTCAATGGGAGAAAGATGTAGCAGTCTGCTTTTGTAAAGATTGCAGCCTTGGAAACCCTATGGGGCAGTTTTACTCTGTCCTACAGTGTTGCTACCAGCTGCAATTGACTCAGCGACAATGGGGTTTGCTTTTTGGTACAAGTATCAAGTTCTCCTGGCTCTTGAAAAAAAGTCTAGCATCAGTAAGACCACATAGTCAGTGGAGGGAAAGCTGTCTGCACAAGAAGTCCCGATCACTATCTCTGCCTACAGCTTTCTAACTTTCCAGGAATCTAATTTCTATACAGAAGAGAATGTATCCCATTAACTTGTATGTTCCCCAAATCAGAGTCTGGCACTCAATAAATGAATCAATCATTGCAAAAACCAGTGAGTTTTCTCCCTGTCACCAGTATTCTCCTCTTATGTTTCTTTTCCTCAGTCCTACACTGTGTTTTATTCCTTCAATTACTCATCTCCATGGCCTTCCTGATGCT